GGAATATCTATGTTGATGCTTGCTTGCAAACCCACCATTATGCATATTAACTTCTTTTATTTGCAAGAGGGGAGGCAATCGTGTTTGCTCATATGATTGATATGTGCATCAATCATCATCATCTTTATATGGTTCATAAGATGTTCTCTTGGATGCATGTGAATACTTATGATTTTTGACATCTTCGTCTAGGTCTTGCATTTGTCGAGTTAAGGCCAAGCTCTTTATCATTATGAGTTCAATTCCATGTAATACAAGTTTAGTAGCTTGTTCAGATGGTTTGAGTTCTACTTCAATTTGAGTTCGGTCTGAGTTCCTTGCTGTTCAATTCAGATTCAAGTTCAAAATAGGTTCAATCTTGAGTTCCAAGTTCTAGCCCAAGTTTGAGTAAAAGTTCATGTTCGAGTCAAAACTCCTAGCATCAAGTTCATTTGGGTTCAAGTTCTGTCTTGAGTTCAATATGACGGTTCAATTTAAGTCCAAGATGAGTCCGACTTTGAATTCAAGTTCATTTCATATCCATTGTACCCTTGGTCAAAGTCAAGTTCAAATTCATTTAGGTCTTGATTTTTTCATTGTTCATTATGACCAATTCATGCTTAAGTTAATGTCCAATTTTGTTTCATTTGAGTTCAAATTCAGTTCAAGTTTGAGTCTAAGTTCATTTGAATCCAAATCGGGTCCTTGTTTCGGTTCCTTTCAACCCCATTTGATTAAGTTTAATTAAGTTCGATTTTCTGCTTGAATTATATTCAAATTAAAATCTGAAATTTTTATACAGTCCCCTGTATTTTCAGTCCAAATTTCGGCAACCTCCCGTCACCTCCCCCGTTTAGGGGTAAAACAAGGAGGCAGTCTTCCCCTCCATACAACATGAGCGCTTCAAGTAGATGTCGGGGGACATCGTGGTTGTACTTTCTTCCATCCCCGCTACGCTACATGAGCGTTTAAGGGTCTTCGAGCACTTGTTAAAAAGAGCAGTTATTTCCCCACGTATGAGTAATAATTTTTCGTCCCCCTCACACTATATGAGCGCTACGGGGATTACCCATCATGTTGCGAGCGTCGCACCGGTTTCCCTGCCCCCGTGCTATGTGAGCAAGTAGGAAGGTTTGTCGGCTTATCGCTAGCATCGAGAGAAGGATTTAAGTTAGAAATTTATACCTTTGAGAATGGCGACGAAGATGATGGCGTAGGTATGCAGATTGAGGCAAGAGACATATACCCCACTTTTTAGCATTAATCATAATTAATTATGATTAATAGACATTATTTATAAATAATTATAATTAAAAAGGTTATGATTAATATTGTTGCAACCTGGAATATTCGTGGCGGTAGAGAAATATATTATTTTATGTCTTAGCGTTATATGAAGATCCAGCACACAAGCGTCAAGGGATTATTTTGATCATTTTTTCAATAACTTAATTAATATTCAGATCAAGTTATTCATTTTTGTCAATACATCTCTTTTGTTTCTTAATGTCAGAGGTGGCTGATATTGGCAGCAATTTGATGAAGATTTGGTGATGGGCTCTTTTTGATGATCATATCTTCCCCTTTTCCTTCATGAATTTATCTTTGTAACCAATTTGCTATGACATCCCAACCCAATATAGCCCCTGCACCATAGTGGATCACACAAAGCCAGGGTGTGGTGGATGAGATCATTTCTATCATTCAATGTGCATCAGATTCATATCTTTATAATTTTGCTCTCCTCAAAAGCTAGGATCATTAGAGATGATCATTTTTCCAATCATATTCACAGAACCACTAAATCTATTGCATAATAATATTATTAATATACAAGTGATAATGAACCATATGCTTGCATTTACATGTTTGCAATGCTACAACCGAAAAGAATAAATAAAAAATATCATGATCATATAGTATTAAACCTCATTTATCTGTCAGGATTACAAAAGAGGACATCATCCAAAGCACTTAAATTCTATGCATGATTACCTATTCTATTGGCTCCTCACTCTTACTTGAAACCAACAACACATGTAGGTGCAATAAAGTGAGCATAAAGTTTGATATGCCATAGAGATTCTACAATAGAATTTAATACACTCAAACAAGAAAATGAATGATATAAATGCTTGCAATATCAGTAGATCTATGCATTCCATTTTAAGTCATATTCATACATGCGAAGTCACATAAAAAGGTTTATCGTGCTCTCTGCCAACTCATATACACTAAATCATACGAATTTGATGTATCTTAAGCTTACAATGACTTGAACTGAAGATGCCATATTATGCTGTCTTGTATGACCCCATCTATAATACTAGGAACATATACAGAGGGTCTAATTGTATTGTGTACACATAGATCATCCCATATTAGTCACTTAATAAATTAGGTGTGCATTTTGGATCATCATATGTATAAAATGAGCATGCGAACATTCATGTGCAAATGAGTATGCACATATGAAAACATTAGTATCATTAATACATGGTATCAGCATTTGGTATGTGGTGGGGGAAAAAAATATAGGGGAGCCTATACCCCTCGCCCGCACAAGAGAGATGGGACGACACAAAAAAAAAGAGACACGACTTGAGACGAAATTCAAGATGAGAAGAGAGAAGAGAACAAACTCTTACATTTCAAATTTGACATAAATAAAAACTTACAAACTAGACTCCAAATAAAATGACGACACCCTAAAGTTGCTGCACTTAGAGAAGAAGGATACAGGTGGAGCGGCACTTGCGGAGAGACGAAAGAGGTTAGAAGCCCGAGAAGAAAGAGTGGAAAGAGCCCGCAGGATTTCCGGAGGGGATGAGAAAGAAGGGTGGAAAGAGCCCGCAGGATTTCCAAAGCAAACCCGCAGGTTAAAGCTTTTCCAAAAATCACATTTTCATTACTTCATATTTCAAACATAAACAATCCCCCATATATATAGGTATGAAAGGGAATACAAAGAGACACTAACATTAAATTCCCATAGGAATTCTAAACAACACAATTAATTAAAACACTAATGCTTTGCACGAAAAAACATCCCAAACCCAAGAACCGAAGTGGTAGCCGCGGGAGCCAAGGAGGCCGCACGGGAACCAAGGGGCCACGGTCACGGGAGGGAGCTCAGGCACGGAAATCCAGCAGCCGGCAGGAATCCAAGGGGGCAAAAAGCAATAAAAAGCCATGGTGGAATCCAAAGAGCCACCATTGGAAAACCAAACAACTTCTTGGGATTCCAAAAGCCCTTTTTGGAAACCCAAGAGACAACTTTAAGACATTAAAAACTATAATAAAAATGCATTAAATAAAAGATAAATATGAGCTAAAATCATAGCTAATAATGAGCTAACCCTTAGTTCAATAAGTGAACTAAAGACCAGCTCATAAATGAGCTAAAATTTCAGCTCAATTTTGATTGAGCTAGTAGACTCAAGGGAAGCCAAAATTCATATTATTTTGGATATGGGTTGACCCCCCCCCCTTGTCTACATCGTATGTTATCGCTAGAATCATTAGTGGATGAACGATTTGATATCTCATCAGAAGATGAATCATCATTATTATCATTAGCATTCCATATCTTATTAGAAATTGACTCGTTATTCGATATCTCATCATGAAGTAGCATTGACAAGGAAAAGAGTGTCAAGAATTAGCTATATGTGGTTTCTCATCTGGGCCTATGCATTACTAGCATGAATTACCTCTTATTAATGTTTTAGTGTATGGCATTAGTTTTTGCTTTTTCAACTACCACTACATTTCTTTTCTTGGATTAGGGATTAGGGAACGAATAATTCCTATGGAAGCATTTGAGGGGTTGATGATTAGCAGCCTATCTAAAGGCTGATTTCGAAGAGCAGTTGTAGCTCGTAGGTAGCCAAAGATGGCATGTTAGCTGCAAAAGTAATGGGGGAGGATCCACTTGGCCTTGGATTGGTGACATGACAATGCATTACTGATTTGGAGCATACGACCTCTACCGATTTAGTACCTTTTTAATTTAATTTACGCAATAGTATTTTTTTTCCTTTCTCACTTTGGTGCGATTTATTTCTTCTAAGAGGGAGTTGTTTAGGAAGTTTCTTAATCAAGGGGGAGTTATTTATAAGAAAATTTCTTAATTGTGTTTATGCTATTTAGGAAGTATTTAATTGTTTAGGAATGTTTCTTAAAATATGTTTAATTGTTTAGAAAAGTTTCCTAAAATATGTTTAATTGTTTAGGAAAGTTTCCTAAATCATGTTTGGTTGTTTAGGAAGATTTTCTAAATTATGTTTACCATTAAATTACAAACAATAAGTTGATTTGAGCAAGATTTTTGTGTAAACATCGTGCCAAATAGCAAAAATCACAACTTTAAAGGGTTGTTTGGTTGGCTAAGAAAGAAATGCATTGTAAAAGAAATGCAGTGTAAATGGAATATAGTGTAAAAAAAATACTTTAGAATTATTTGAATCAGCATAAAATGAATGCAAGAGATTTCTTTTTTTTTTTTGGGTTGAAGTAAAATGTGAGAAATGTGAAGTACAAAGAGGTTGGTGGTCAATGGCGGTAGCGATGGTGGGTGGCCACGGCCAGTGATAGTGGTCTACAGCAGCGGTGTTAGCCATCACCGGTCAGAGGTAGGCAATGGCCAGCGACAGGTTGCGGCTGTCACACCCCTTTTTAGCCTACCCCCTAACGATCAATCTGGAGTATAACAAAGAAGGAAAACCTAAACCGATTCCTTCTTACTAACACCAATTTTGAGCCACTACTTTCAAAATAGAGTAAATAAAAAGAAATCTATTTAAACTCTCCTAACATGCCAACCTATCAAATTCCATAATTAATAAAGGGAAGCATATAATGTCTCTTAATGAACATCAAATATAATTGAAATAAATAGAGAGCTCTACTAAAACTTTTAAAATTTACTACATATCAAAAAATCTGTACATCTAACATTCAGATCTCATTTTAAATCTCTTTGTGCACCCAAAACGTATTTACACCAAAAGAACAGTCACCTCTTTTTACTGTCCCAAGGGCTCCTTCCCTTTTCCTGCAATACAACCATTGCTATGAGCTAGGCTCAATGAAATATACAAAAAATTTATAATAAATAATTAAGAAAAACTTAACAATGCTAACATAATTAAAACACATATTGAAATGTCATATTGAGCTTAAAAACTAAAAAGTGCTTAGCAGTATTTTCATCTTGCCAAAACTGTTGAATACATTTAAATAAGTTATATAATGGCTATAAGCTTTTGCACTTTTTCAGCTTTCCAATTCAATGTTGGGTCCAACTTCTCAACTTTTAGAATGGAAGTTGTTCTCTCATTCAGGATTGAGTCCAATTTCCCAACTTCTAGAATTAAGAGTGTTGTAGGCTAACCTCGTCGGATCTTTTGCTTTTACTTGTACGGGAATATCCCCCATATATAACTTTTCACTTTCCATATAGTCATCCTGTTTAGCCCTAATGACATATGCTTTGATGACATAGCTATGCTTTAGCTGCGCTTTAGCTGCCTTTAGTAGCCCTTTTGTTGACCTTTAGTTGCCCTTTTACTATCATTTTGATGCTGCCCTTTTGCTGATCTTTTTACTGTTACGCTTTAGCTGCCCTTTAGCTATAATTTCCTACGCTTTTTGCTCATTCATTAGTTTATGATTATTTATCCTTTTATGTTTACAAAATCGTTAACATTAATAAAGATTACTCTCTGCATAAATAATTTTATACATATTTGTCCATGTTTATACAAAATCAACTTAAATAAACAGAAATACATATAGTCATAAGCATAATAAAGATGAAGTGTAATAATAGAACATTTACTAATTCTTATAATCTCGTTTGGGTATCTTATCTAACTAAGAATTTGTTCTCCTAAATTTTATCTTCTTTTCCTCTTGTATACAATCTCAATTGCACTCTTTCACATTCCATAAAATCTTTTTCCTTTTCTTTAAAGTCCTCTTCTTTAACGTTTTCTACTACCACTTTAGCCTTAACCTGTTTTTAACTACCATCAACAAACAAAAGTACTTCCCCTATTGTTTCTTAAATTTGCAGGAACTAAAAGCAATAGCCCTACTTAGATTAAAAAGCAAACTGCACTTGGTTTCAGCCAAATAAAAATTTCAACCACTAAGTAAAGCATTTGCCTAATTTACCTTACATTAATTTGCTGAAAAAATATTTCTGAAATTCTTCCCAAAGCATTCCACGACCTGCAGCTCCTTCGCACACTAAGTCAGCTGATGGAAAATGGGAGAAGAATACTAATATTGCATAATTGAGAGAAATTTCATCCCACTCTAGGATTAATCTTTTATTCATATTACTTTATATTATAATCTCTAGTGTTTTTCCCACTACAAGCTTCCCAAAAATTTTCAGTCGTAGTATTTAATCCAGCTAATGCATGGCTTGGTTAGTGGAATGTAGAAGCTCTAGTGAAAATAAAGAACTGTGACATATGTAACAGTTATACTTGTACTAGTTATGCAGATACAATTGACTTCATAAGTAGCATATGCTTCAATTAACATATAAAGAAAATTTATACTTGTCTTGACTTGAATATTTTGGGTATTATAATCCACCCCTCCTTGTTTAAATTTTGATCTCGAAATTCAGTTCCTTAGTGGTCATCAAACAAATGAGGGAATCTCAATTTAATGTCTTTCTCTCTTTCCCAGATTGCTTTTTTTTCTGGTCTGTATTTCCATTTTATTTTAACATATGGAATTTACCGATTTCTGATTTGTTTAGTATCGAAATCTAGTATTACTTCTGGTTCTTCAGTATAAGCCAGATTTTTCTGTAGAACAATTTCATCATGTGAAATTCTCTGGTGGGCATCTGTAACTCATTTTTTTAGCAATGACATGAAAAATATTATGAATATCTGACATGTCTGCTGGAAGAGCAAGTCTATGAGCAACCTTTCCAATTCTTTCAGTAATTTCAAAATGTCCTATATATCTAGGATTTAATTTGCCTCCCTAACCAAATCTAGTTGTACCTTTTATAAGCTTAACCTTCAAGAATACAAAATCACCCATTTCAAACTCTATTGATCTATGCTTGGGGTCATAATACTTTTGCTAGCGATCTTGGGCAGCTTTTAATCTGTCTCTGATTAATCTGATTTTCTCTGCTGCTTCATCAACTAATTCTGGAACCATCAGTTGTCTTTCTCCTACCTCAACCCAAATTAAAGGAGTTATGCATTTTTTCTACTATAAAGTACTTTATATGGTGCCATTTGTATACTTGCTTGATAGCTATTGTTGTAAGCAAATTCGATCAATTGTATGTGATCCTCCCAACTACCTCTAAAATCTAAAACACATAATCTTAGCAGGTCTTCTAGTACCAAAATGGTTCCTTCAGATTAACCATCAGTTTGAGGATGAAAAGTTGTGCTGAAGTGCAGATTTGTACCCAAGTTTTCATGAATATTTTTCCACAGTCTAGAGTAAATCTACCATCTTTATCATAGACAATAACCTTTGGAATACGGTGCAATCTGACAATTTCTTTCACATGCAGGCGTGCTAATTTGTCTACCGAATCAGTTTGCTTGATAGGCAAAAAGTGAGCAGATTTTGTTAGTCTATCAATAATCACCCAAATGTTGTCATGACCCTATTTAGATTTGGAAAATCCCATAACAAAATCCATTACAATTTATTCCCACCTCCACTCAAGGATAGATAGTGATTGCAGTAATTCACTAGGTCGTTGATGTTCAGCTTTCACTATTTGACACGCTTCACATCTAGCTACGTATTCAGCAACGTCTCTCTTCATACCTGGCCACATGAATATTACTTTCAAGTCTTTATACATCTTGGTACTGCCTGAATGAATTATGTATCTAGCATGACGAGCTTCTTACAAAATTTTCCTTCGTAAATCCGGATCACTGGGTACCCACAATTGTATTTTATGTCTAATAACTTCATCAACATCCGCAGAATAATCTGACATTTTTTCGTGACTGGGCTTGATCCAACAATTTAGAATATTGATTACTAAGTTTTTGAGTTTCTTTAATACTAGCACTTAGAGTGGGCTTTACTATCATATAGTGCAAATATTCCACATTCTTAAAACCTCTAATTTCCAATTGCAACTTTTTCATTTCTTTAATCAATTAAACCACTTGAGTAATCATCTAGTTCATCATTCATGTAAATTTGCGACTCAACGCATCAGCCACAATATTGGCTTTTCCCGGACAATACTAAAAATCCAAATCATAGTCTTTAATGAGCTATAACCATCTTCTCGATCTCAATTTGAGTTCTTTCTGTGAAAATATATATTTTAATCTCTGATGATTTGAGAAAATTTCACATCTTATCACATATAGGTAATACCTCGAAATCTTCAAACAAAATACTATTGCAGCCAGCTCTAAATCATGAGGGATAATTTTTTTCATAAGGCTTCAACTGTCTCGATGCATATGCAACCACCTGTCTATTCTGTACTAGAACACGTCCAAAACCTTTCAAAGATGCATGACTATAAATTTAAAATCCTTCTATTCCTGAGGGAAGTGTCAATACTGGTGTTGTAGTCAGATGCTCTTTTAATGCTTGAAAGCTCATCTCACATTCAATTGTCCATTCAAATTTTACCTTTCCTCATTAGTTTGGACAAAGGCATAGCAATCTATGATAATCCTTTAATAAACCTTCTGTAATATCCTGCTAATCCAAGAAAGCTACGAAACTCTGTAACATTCTTTGGTGTAGGTCATTCCATAATTGCTTTCACTTTCTGTGGATCTACTGAAATTCCTTCCCCTTTGATAATATATCCCAAAAATGAAATACTTCTTAGCCAAAATTCACATTTTGAATATTTTACATACAATTGATTTTTTCTCAATATCTCTAAAGCTATTCTTAAATGTTCAGCATGCTTCTCATCAGTTTTTGAGTATATTAAGATGTCATCAATGAAAATAATCATAAATTTATCTATATAGTCTTTAAAAATTTGGTTCATCATATCCATAAAGATAGTAGGACCATTTGTTAACCTAAATGGCATGACTCTAAACTCAAAATGACTATATCTAGTCCCAAAAGTTGTCTTACTGACATCTGCTTATTTAACTCTCACTTGATGATATCATGATTTTAAATCAATTCTGAAAAATATTGTAGCACCAACTAATTGATCAAATAAGTCATCTATTCGTGGTAATGGATATTTATTCTTGATAATTATTTTGCTCAATTCTCTAAAAGCAATACATATTCTCATGGATCCATCATTCTTCTTAACAAAAAGTACATATGCACTCCAAGGGGAATGACTAGCCTTGATAAATCCCTTATCCATTAAGTCCTGTAACTGAGTTTTTAACTCCTGCAATTCTTTTGGGGCCATCCTATAAGGAGATTTATAAATTATTGATATTCCTTACTGCAATTTTATGACAAATTCAACTTCTCTTTCAGTTAGTAATCTAGGTAATTCTTCAGGAAACACATCTAAAAATCCAAAGACAACTAGAACATTCTGCAATGTTTGAATATCTTTATTTAAGACCTCCATTTTAGCTAAGAACACTAGCTCACCCCTCAAGTATTTACTCATCTTTATTGCACTAACAAGAGAGGATGTTGCATTTTTCTCATAGGAAAAATAAAAGATCTTCTCATTTAGTAAATTAAATTTTATTCTTTTCTTCCAACAATGAACTGGTGGTTTTCCTTGTACTGCTGGCCTTCCTTGGAACTGAATTTTTCCTATTTGATTGCCTCCTTTCAAATATCTCCTATGTGGTACATGTTCTTGATATCTTTGTGGCCTGATATTGTTTCTTTTCTCTTGAGGGTAATCCATCTTCCGATAACCCATCTCACCACATTTAAAACATCTTCCTAATCTCACCAAATACTAGCCAAAATGCTGCTTCCCACACTGCTCACATAAAGATTTTTCAAGCTGACTCTGCTTTTATTTATCATCAAACTTTGGTTTCTTGTTTCTGAATCGATCAACCCTTTCAAACATTTTCCTTTTTCTTGGTTGTTGTTGCTCTGAATTACACTTGGAAAAATTCAGCTCATTTTCAATCTTTCTGGCTCTCTCCACTAAGACTAAGAAGTCACTGAAATCAAAAGGTGTCAATGCTAATCGCAGTTAATATCTGAGTCCTCTCAAAAATCTATGGCACTTCTTCTCCTGGATGCTGACATAAGGAGGTGCATAGCGAGACAAAGAAGTGAACTCAGCTTCATATTGCATAACTGTCTTTGAATCTTGAGTCAGATAGAATAATTTGTCTTGTAGAGCTAATCTGGTTGAAGGAGGAATAAACCAATCTCTGAAGATTTTCACAAAATCATCACACAGTATGTTAGTAATAGGCATCTGTCCAAATTTTTCTCTCTGTTGTGCTTTCAACCATCTTTCTGCTTCTCCTTCTAACACATGTAGCTAATGGTACTTTTCTACTTTCAGGACAGATCATGCCATCTAAAATCTTTCCCCTCTTTAACAATCAGTCTTCCATTATGATTGGATCACTTGCACCCTTAAATACTGATGGTTTAAAAGTCTGAAATAATTTTAAATGTTGATCCACTTCACTATCACTTTCATATATAGATTCATCGCTATTAGAAGATTTCGCCATAGATCTCATTTTATCTACCACTTATGATATCAAATGCACAATATGTTGAAGTTCTTTAGACTTATTTCTCTCATTCATTCTTATTTTTGTATCCGGCCTAGATGGCAGACCAGTCATTCTTTCTGGCAACTTCTCAGAATAACTATTTATATGCATATAGATAATTCACATAATACATGTACTCATAGTAATAAACATGATCATTCAAAGCATTAAATAAGCAAGTATGTTATTGTACTAAAATGAATGCACAATTCCATTAAAACTTAATTCCATTAAAGCTTGATTCAACCTATAGCTCTATATACATCATATTCATTATATCTCATCCTACTTCCTCTTCTAAATCCAATTATGCTTCCACTTTATCTTAATTTGGCTCTGATACCAATTTCTGTCACACGCCAGTTTGGCCAACCTAACGATCAATCTAGAGTATAACATAGATGGAAAATCTAAACTGGTTCCTTCTTACTAGCACCCATTCTGAGTCAATACTTTCATAATAGAGCGAGTAAAAAAAATCTATTTAGACTCTCCTAACTTGCCAACCTATCAAATTTCATAATTAATAATGGGAAGCATATGATATCCCTTAATTAACATCAAATATAATTGAAGTAAATATAGAGCCTACTAAAACTTTAAAAATTTACTCACATACCAAAAAGTCTACATATCTAACATTCATATCACATTTTAGAGCTCTTTGTACAGCCAAAGCATATTTACACCAAAAGAACGGCACCTCTTTTTCTTGTCCCAAGGGTTCCTTCCACTTTCCTACAGTACAACCACTACTAATGAGCTAGGCTCAATGAAATACAAATAATAATAAACAATTAAAAAATGCTTAACAATGCTAACATAGTTAAAACACATTGAAATATCATATTGAGCTTAAAAAATGCCTAGCAGTATTATTCATCTTACCAAAATTGTTCAACAAATTTAAACAAGTCATATAATGGCTACAAGCTTTTGCACACTTTCAGTTTTCCAATATAAGGTCGGGTCTAACTTCCCAACTTTTAGAATAGAAGTTATTCTCTCATTCCGGGTTGAGTCCAATTTCCTAACTTTTAGAATTGAGAGTGTAAGCTTACATCGTCTGGTCTTTTGACTTTATTTGTGTGGGTTTATTCCCCATATATATCTTATTTCACTTTCTATATAGTCATCTTTTTTACCCCTAATGACATATGCTTTGATGACATAACTACGCTTTAGCTACGCTCTAGCTGCCCTTCTGTTGTCTTTTAACTGCCCTTTTGCTACTGCACATTCACTGGCCTTTTTGCTGCTGCCCTTTTGCTACCCTTTCTGCTGTTGCGCTTTTGCTGTGTTTTAGCTGCCCTTTTGCTTCCCTTTTTGTTGCTGCGATTTAGCTTCCCTTTTGTTGTCCTGTGCTTTAGTTTATGACTATTTTTACTTTAATGTTTACGAAACTATTAACATTGATAAATATTACTCTCTGCATAAATAATTTCATACATATTCATCCATGTTCATACAAAATAAACTAAAATTCATGCGATCACAAGCATAATAATGATGAATTGCAATAATAAAATATTTATTAATTCTTATAACCTCGTTTGGGTATCTCACCTTGTTAGGAACTTGTTCTCCTAAACTTCGTCTTCCTTTCCTCTTGTATATAATCTCAATTGCACTTTTTCTCATTCCATAAAATCATTTTCCTTTCCTTCTAAATCCTCTTCTTTAATGTTTTTTGCTACCACTTCAGCCTTAACCTATTTTTAACTACCATTAGAAAACAACAGTACTTCCCCTATTGTTTCTTGAATTTGCAACAACTAAAAGCAGTAGCCCAACTTAGATTAAACAGCAAATTGCACATGGTTTCAGTTAAATAAAATTTTCAACCACTAACTAAAATATTTGCCTAATTACCTTGCCTTAATTTGCTGAAAAATATTTCTGGAATTCTTCCCATAGCATTCCACGGCCTGCAACTCCTTCGCACACTAAGTCAGCTGATGGAAAATGGGAGAAGAATACTAATGTTGCATAAATTCCAGCCCATTATAGGTTTTTTATTTAGATTACTTTATATTATAATCTCTAATTTTTTTCGCACTATAGGCTTCCCAAAAATTTCCATCCATTCGATCTTATCCAGCCAATGCATGAATTGGTTAGTGGAATATAGAAGCTCTAGTAGAAATAAAGAACTATGACATATGTAATAGTTATTCTTATAATAGTTATACATATACAATTGACTTCATAAGTAACATATGATTCAATTAACATATAAAGAAAATTTACACCGCAGCCGGTGGAGGGTGATGGCAACCAGTGACAATGGCAGCAGATGGCTGCAAAGGCGATGAATTTTCTCCAGATAAGAGAACAGTTATGCGCAAAACTGAGAGCATCAAGATAAAAAATGCCCAAACCTCCAACCTCTTTAGGCTTACAAACTTTATCCCAAGCAATAATATGGATTTTCCTACTAGTAGGATCACCCTGAAAAAAAAAATAAACTTTTCTAATAAATTTAAAACAATACTTGGGCAATGCAATACCCCTGATGCAATACAAAATAACATTGAAAATAGTGAAATTCGGAAATTGAACTCTCCTGGCAAAATAGAGTAATTTAGCTTTCCAACCGGCCAACAAAATAGTTATCTTACTAAATAAAGGCTGAAAAAAGTAATTTTTAATTTCTTACTAGAGAGGGGCAAAGCCTAAATATTTAATAGTATTATAAGCAGTTCTAATGCCAAGAATGAAGCTAAAAGTATATTCTAAATGACAATCTTTAGAAATAATAAGAGAGCTACCATGATTAAACAGTAAGCCACAGGCAGCCGCAAAATAGTCCAAAATATTATTAAGTTTTCCAGCATTCTCTAAGGTAACTTTCCCGAAAATGATAACATCATCCGCATAAAGAAGATGAGAAATAGTATTATCATCAGCTTTAATCCCCTCAAAGCCATTATTTTGAGAATCATCCTCCAAAATATTTAACAAAGCATTCTAATAATAAAAAAAGGATAAGGAGAAAGCGGACATCCTTGCCGAATACCCAAAATAGAATTAAAAAATCCATGCATAGAACCATTAAAAATAATAAAAAAAATGCACATCTTCTATACAACCTTTTACCCAAATAATGAAAATCTTCGAAAAAACTTTTTGACATCCTACAGATTAAGAAATCTCTAGATACCGTACCAAATGTCTTATGAATGTCAATTTTGGCACAAAAAAACTTTTCTCCAAGACAATGATTAAAATCTCTAAAAAGCTCAGCAGCAAGAATAATATTATCCGTAGATATCCTTTTCTTTATAAACCCAGATTTGCTTTTATGAATAATAAAAGACATTACACTCTGCATTCTGTTAGCAAGAATTTTAGCCACAATTTTATAAAAAATATTTCATAAAAAGATGGGCCTAAAATCCGAAACATTAGAAGAATTATTCATTTTGGGAATAAGAGAAATGGCAGACGCCTTTGCAGCTTTAGGCATAAAACTAGAATTGAAATAATAAAAAACAGCTTTACATAAAGTATGACCCATAACCTCCCAAGTATACTTAAAATTTCAAAAGTGTAGTCATCTGGACCAGGGGCAGAGTTCTTAGGATTCTTAAAAACAACCTTTCTAATTTCATCAATTGAAACCGAGCTAACCAAAGCAACTTTTAAATTATCCGGAATAGCATTTCCAACCGGTATATTGAAAGAAGAATTAGCTAGCACAAGAGAATTAAAAATTAATTTAAAATGATTTACAAAAGAATTAGCAATTTTAATAGGATCTGTAATAATCCCTTGACCAGTAGAAATACCATGAATCTTATTGTAATTCTACCTGCGTTTGATTTTGGAATAAAGAAACCCTAAATCATCTTCTTCATGAGTCATACATTTTTTCTTAGCCCTATGAGAAACCCAAGAAGACCAAAGCAAAATTTGATCTTTATAAAGAAAATTTACATTAATAAGAGATAAATTGAGATTCTCATTCATCGGGTCCTTTTGAATAACACTGCAAAGATCACAACGCTGCTTCTTAATATTATCAATAGCAGAGAAAAGATGCTCACATGAAGCCCAAACTTGCCTCTTAATTAAGACTTTAAGAAGCCTAAGCTTAGTACAAAGATTGTTGATAGGATTACCAACATAAGCTTTAGAAAAAAACCCCAATAAGCAATTCCTAGAAACTATCATATTTGCACCAATAATTTTTAAACAAAAATCTATAATTAGAAGAAGAACAGTTATTGCTACAAACAATTAAAGGCCAATGATCGGAGCAAAGAGGACTATCCACAATATAAAATGAAGAAGGAAAAGCATTCAACCAATAGTTATTAACAAAAACTCTATCTAATTTAATATGAATAAGGTTCTTACTCTGCTAATTGAACCAGGTATAAAAATTACCAATATTCAAAAGTTCCAAAAGTCCAGAATTAAAAATACAATGATTGAAGGCTCCCAAATTATTATTAGAAATAGCATCACCACCAAATTTTTCATTAAAAAAATGGCCGCAATTAAAATCTCCCAACAAAATCCACGGATCAGTAATGTTAGTAGAAAGATGAAGAATATCATTCCAAAGATTAATTATATCCGTAACAAAATTAGAAGCATAGATAGCCATAATAAAAAAGGAATTTGAGCCAAATTTAATAACCCCATGAATAAGCTGACTAGAAACAAGAATAGGATTGAATGAAATACAAGAAGTATTCCACTTTAATCAAATTCTACCAACACAAGAAAGATTAAAATTATTACAACTACCTTTTTGCTGAAAAATTCTATGTCTAGCCTCAAACCAAGAATTACGAAGAAGATCAATATTAATTTTAGCTTCAAGAATGCAACAAAAATCAGCCTTAAACTTGTTAACAAGATTAGCATAAGCCTTAACTTTATCTAAACAGTTAAAGCCTCTCACATTCTAGAAAATTATATTCGGCAAAGACATTAATGTTTAATATTCAAATTGTTGGCCTTCCTGACAGCTTTTGATCTAGTAGATTTACTAGTAGTCATAGCGATTTTATTACCAGACTGATCTAGAATAGTATTAACCGATGAAGAGATCTCCAGTAAAGTATTATTCGTATCCAAAGAAGCATCATTAATGAGGGAATCCAACACATGAAACTTATTATGTGAATCAGAAATATCTAATGAAGATTTCAGCATAAAAGGATCATTAGAAATACCCAAAATATCATTTAAATTGAGATTAGTGATGACCTATTCAGTAGACAGATTTAAATTGGGTAAAATCTCATTAGAAGAAGATATAGCCAATCTCTCATATTTTTCAACCGAATTAACCGCTACCTCCAAATTTTCATAAACAGGATTTAAATTTTCCTGAGAACTACAAGAAGCTAAATTAGTATTAGAATTTTTAAACTCATTTAAAGAAACCTCTTTAGAGTTTAATAAAGAATCAGAAAGAATATGTGTATCAGAAGGATCTTGATCTTTCTTTTTAAAAACTTCTGAGGCTATTTAAAAGAAGATCTTATTCAACCTGAAGTAGCATTCCAAACCTTTCTGTTTTTACTTCTTCCCCTATGGGGTTTCTAAAAGCCTTCATGTTGCTCCCAAACCGATTTATCACTAGCCTCCTTCAATTGCGGAGGCTGAGTCAGACACAACGCAGACGGATGAACAATTGAACAACAACCTTGACAGGGAGTAGGCTTCCAATCGTAAACAACTTTTACAGAAAAAATGTTACCAGGAATAAAGATATTAACTTCATCTGGAATGATAGAATCCTTAGAAACTAAAATATAAACCCTAGCGAAAGTGAGTCTCATTTGCTCTGCAGTTAAAGAATCAACTGCAATAGGAACCCCTATTAAACTAGCAATCCTAGAAATGCCTTCCGGTATCCAGCAAACTAAAGGTAAATCAAGAAATTTGACCCATAAAGGTATGGGCGTAAACTCTTCACGCTTAGGACGAAAAAGAGGTGACCATTTCTGGATAACAAAGGCTTTACCAAAGAAAAACCAAGGTCCACCAGACCATACAAATTCATAATCTTCCAGATAAGAAAACTTCATCAAAAAAACCCTCATTCAAAGCAAGAAGGGTAAAGCTACCTTTCAGTTACCAGACCTTATGCATGATAGATTTAAAGCTTCAAAATAAGGCCTCTTACCCAACGAGTATCAAACAAGCGTAAGGCCCCATTTAACCGAAGCAACAGAGACATCACCTTCACAGAACAAAGCAAGATTATCAGAAGAAGGTAAAAAAGAAACAGAGAAAGGTTTGGATGAAGATTGACCAGAAGTCAATACTCCATTCCACGCTTTAATTCCCTTTAGGAACATCGGAAACTACAGAAGAATTCAGATCTGATTTTAAAGGAGGAAAATCATATAGAATCCATGAAACAAACAAAGAAAACAACTGCAAATAATAAAAAGCGAAAACCCTAAGAGAAACCACCAAGAAGGTGGAAAAAATCAAAAAAGGAATAAAGAAAAACAGGTTAGCGAAATCGAAGAACCCTCATCCAAAAAAAATCTGGGATTCAACTCGAGGATCAGCAATCAAGAACGAAGGGGGAATTTGTTTCCTACAGGAAACCCACTTTCGCTTCCTCCAACGCTTATTCAGCCTCTATCCCCGTGCCCTCTCAAGCTCTGTGAATAGGTTCTTACTACCAAATATTTCTAAAACTAAGCACACACAAGATGTAGGATTCTTATTGAGTGTAGTATAATGAAAATTCCCTCAAGTGAAAGAATTTATGTGCCATACATCATTTCTCATGAATGGCATCAATAGCATGTGCTATTTTACACATATCTTCCACGCCAAGCAAATAGCATTGTACGTACGCAGTTTGTAAACAGTGTGCGCCAACTTGCATCATTGACATGTAATTTTTAGATGTCTATAAATCCCTCCATCTTTTACTAGCAACTAGAGTGATCCATCCAATAACTACCAAGAAGAACAAAATAGATATAGCAAGATGTTAAACCCAGTGAAGTAACTCAATAGTTCATGGATAATCTACTAGAAAATTGCATATGGTAGTAGTCACTGATATTTATGAAGATAAAGCAAACAAATGATCTTTTCAAGAAGAAATTAAATACCATATAATTCCGTTGCATTTTCAAGTAAAGGAATTTTTAAGTGCCTAATGATAACATAACACTTCATAAAGCAAGCAAACAACCTTTTCAAGATGAAATTAAATACCATATAATGCCAAAAAATTGCATTTTCAAGTAAAAGAACATTTTTAGTGTCGCATGATACCATACCACTTCTGTGCTTGACCTTTCCAATCTGTTCCCAATTGCTTATTCAATTTCTCTCTAACTTCAGGAGGAAAATCATAGGTCAACCAATAAGGAACCTGTAACAAATTGCAAGTAAGGCACGGAAGGTTGTCAGTTTAATCACCAACGCACATGTAATTATGAAAAGCTGAAATCTGGAATGATCAAAATTTCATATATGTAAATGTAGCCAAAACCAAATTGGTAAATATCATGATTCAGTATAAAATCCAAACAACGGTCAAAATGCATCTGATTGTAGCTTTTGCGAAAGGTGCTAATAGGGAAACTCTACTTGTGGTAAGTTATACAGGACCCTTTTTGTTTTCCTTTTTGTCATGGATTTCCAAGGGTCCCTACTGAGAGCGAGAGAATGAGAAGTCTGTCAGATATCCACTAAAGCACCGCAACAACGCACATTGCAATACAAAGCAGATTATGTGCACACAAATCATCTAAATGATGAACATTACGCATTTGAAATTGCGTACCAAACCTCTGCAAGGATCTCTGCAGATGAAACTCCAGTTTCTTCCATTAGTTCTCTAATTGCAGCATCCCTGGGGTCTTCTCCTTCATCAACACCGCCCTGTAAATGCATTTAAAGAAGAATAACGGTAGATAAGAGTGAAAGTAATTGATTAAAAGCATAAGGCACAAAAACAGCACATTTACAAATCCAAAACTTTTTGGACAAATATTCTGCAATTTTGAAAGAACATAAGCAGGCTATCCATTAGCAGTTCAGCTTTTTCTTTTTAAAATAGAAGTTAGTAAAATGAATAAAATGATCTAATGATACAAAAGAGTCATTTTTTGGCCTTTCTATTCTAACCATATCATTAGAGGTACGGGTCCACTAGCTGAGATTGGCACGCATGTTTCAAGAAGCACCAAAAAATATCATGAGCAAATTTATGGCATGTAAAAGTCTGATGGTAAGATCAAGAAATAATCCAATATTAAGGTAGTCCTGCAGCTAATAAAGAAGCAAACCTAAAGAACAACTATAATAGCGAACAAGCTAACTGGGAATTAATTTCTAAGAGTACAACATATAAGGGAAAAAACAAAACAAAATATTACTTCATCATCCCACCCAATGACCAATCCTTTTCTTTAAGCATAATTAAGTTCAACTGAAAGGGTTGAACACCAAAAAATATAAAAGCATACACCATATTTGCGAAAAACACTAAATGAAGCAAGCGCAGAACAAATGAATATAGTTCGACAATAAAGATTAGAGTTGATAAGTTATATATCTGAAAAGGTATGTGTTGAGAATCAATGAGTATGCATCCACATTAGCTAATAAATTTAAAAAGACCTATCCATAAAGGAGGAGACCATCATCAAAAAGCAAATCAATAGGGCTACAACTAAAAATCTCAAGGGACAATTTGGTTGGAATACAAAGTGGTGTAAAGTTTTTCAAATACATTGATTTTGAAAATATTGATGTTTGGTTACATGAAAAAGGAATGCTAAGTAAATATATTGTAAATAATTATAGTTCATTTTTGAAGTAAACCAAACTCGGCCAATTTTGAGCGAGAACTGTTTACCCCATAAGCAAGCTTGACCGCCATCCACCACTGCCGCCACCCTCAACACACCACCACCGCCGGCCACCACCCACCGCCGGCCACCTCCACCTATTGTTGGTCACCTCTGGCCACCATCAGCCACTACCACCACCACCGCCGACCACTACCATCTTTGGACTTTACACTACATTCATTACTTCTAACCAAACCAAAAAAATATTCACCTGCATTTACTTTACATTTATCCAAACAACTCTAAAGTATTTCATTTACATTGCATTCATTTTACATTGCATTGCATTCATTTTTAGCTAACCAAACAGCCCCTAAGAAACAAAAAGGAAGCCACCACCCAATGTTAAAATTGCGTATTCGGGTATTGAGGCGTTTTTCATTCGTGAGGCGAGGCGTAAGCCTCAAGGCGTTTTGAGGCGTAAGCCTCAAGGCGTTTTGAGGCGTAAGCCTCAAGGCGTTTTGAGGCGTAAGCCTCAAAATCAAAAGATTGCGTAAACATAAAATGATAAATTTTTTATATACTAATGAGTGAATAATATACTAAAGTCTTTATGAACTGCTTTACCAAAAATCAAGAAAATTCTGAAGAAATACAGCGGCTGGACAGGGCAGAATGTGAATAAACAGAAATCTTCTTTGATTTTTGGTAAAGCAGTTCATAAAGACAGATCTAGAATTCTGTCCAAATTATTTGGATTCAAAGTTGTTAGTGAAATGAACTATCTTGGCAGGCTTACCGCCTCTGACTTCCAAGATGTATTGGAAAAAGCATTTGATAAACTCAATGTTTGGGGTAATTTATCTCTCACTTTAGCTGGTAAAATTCAGTTGATTAAAACAGCTCTTTTATCCATTCCTATTTTCGTTTCTACACATTCTCTTGTGCCAATGGGTGTATTGAGAGACCTTGACAAGTTGTGTAGGGAGTTTCTCTGGATGAAACAGAACAAGAGTAAAGGAATTCATTGTGGAATGGAAAATACTTTGTAAGCAGATTAAATTTGGAGGGCAAGGTATTATGTTGGCTGCAGAGAAAATGGGGTCATGTAGAGCCAAACTCGCTTGGAGTTTGTTTTCTAAGCCCTCATCTCTTTTGAATAGAATTATGATTGCAAAATATGGTAAAAATTTATGTTTTACTGAAGCTAGAGTTGGTAGTTCACCAACTTGAAAAATTATTAATTCTGGAGGAAAATTTCTGCAGCAAATCACTAGATGGAAAGTCTTTAATGGTGAACTCATTAACACTACTAAGGATATTTGGATCCTTGATAAGTGTTTAGAAAAATGGCCTACGTTTGTGACCAACCTCCATGAAGATCAATGTTGCTTGAAGTATTTTATTGAAGACGGGAACTGGAACATCAACAGATTGCATGAGGCTTTCGGTAAGGAGCTAATAGAATTGATATCTTTGGTTCCTTTGAATATGGGAACTCATGAAGATGAAGTGGAAATTATGTATAAGTATTCTGGGAAATCAATTGCTGCTTTGATTTCAAAGCAAAACAACTTAAATGGGGAAGAGGATGCTAATTGGAGATGGCTTAAAAAATTGAAATTGAGGCCAAGAGTTAATATCTTTTGGTGGAAATTGATTCACAAGGCAATTCCAACCAATGATTTTTAATGTATAGAAGGATTATCAATTACAATGGATGCCCAAGAGGATGTGCTGATGTTGAGGATGCTAATCATCTAACTGCTAAATGCTCCTTCATGAATAAGATCATTATCTTATTAAATAGCTGGGGTTATGATATCCCAGTTCTCTCCAATCTAGAGAGTTGCTTTAATTGGCTTTCTAAGCTATCTAGCTTCAAACCTTTTATAGCCAATGTTTACTGTTCTGCAGTTTTTTTCTCCTGGAAGAGTAGAAACAAATGGGTGCATGGTTTGGTTGAGGACAGTATATCTTCTATTGCAGCAAATGCAGTTAGTTTTGCTTCTTTATCATTCAGCCAGGATCTTAATTCGGTCAACTGGATTTCTAATCAGCAATTGCTGTTTCAAAACACTTGGAAACCCCTCCAACCGAATGGATCAAACTGAATGTGGATGCTTCTTTCGACAGCAATTATTCTGTAAGATTTGGTGGAGTAATTAGAGATTGCAAAGGTAGATTTTTATTTGCCTTTGGGTTCAAAACCTTACACTGGGATATTTCAGCTCTTGAATTGAAAGCTTTGTTGGCTGTTAAGAAGATTACTCAAGAATGGATATATGAAGCAAAAGGCATCATTATAGAAGGAGACAACTACAATGTTATGAAGCACATCCAAGACATTTTCAAAAACGGACCAGCTGTAAGTAATCATCCTAAATTACTTGAATTCTTCTTTCTTAGAAGTTTCAATCAAGTCATTTTTCAATTTGTAAAGAGAGGTTGTAATAAGTTAGCCGATTATTGTGCTAACCATGCTAGGTTGGGTGATTATACTTGGAATAACTTGATTATCAATAGCGTTCCTCCCATGTTCTTCAAATTATTGAAGGAGGAATGTGATAATCTTAACCTTGTTTAGGTTGTTGTTTTTTTCTTTTTCAATAATATTGCTCTTTGCATCTTCTCAAAAAAAAAAAGAGTGAATAATATAAAACATAAAAAGGTATAAAAGAATTGAAATCAAAATATCCCAATAATAAGCAACATGAAATATAGTTCAACTCAAAATTCTATCTTTCCCAAATCCTGGTATTCTTTTCATTAACATATAATTCCAATTTCCAAAAAAAATAGCAATGATATATCACATAAGAACTCATAAGTCATCAACACAGTCATCACTAAGAGGTTCTTCATTTGAATCATCATTATGATGAACTGTTCTCTCCCCTTCCTCCTCTCCTATAGAGTCCAATGTCGGGCATTTACTTCAAGATTTATGTAAGTTTTAATATATATAGCATGAGACGTAAGCCTCACGACAGTGAGGCGAGGCGGGCCTCAACCAAGTTGAGGCGCAAGCTTCATAAAAAAAACTCAAGGCGTAAGCATCGAGGCATTTTTTATTGGAATTGTGCAAAGGCGGGCCTCAAGGCAAGCCTCATATTGCGCAATTTTAAACCATGCCACCACCAAAGCAATGCAAAGAAATCTAGTTGGACACCAAATCAATTTGCCACCTCAAGCAGATGAGGTCAAAAATAATGTCAGTGATAGGTCACAACAACAATAGGATAAAGAAAACAATCTGAGTATGACTCTCATCAATAGGATAAAAATTTAGGAGTATTACTCTCATCATTATATTGATGACAATTATTTATGTAAGATGAAGATGAATGAAATAAATAATGAAAAAGCATATTGGGAGGCTTGGACTTCACAGGATGAGGAAGAGGAAATACTTATTTGGGATGGCAATGATTCCAATAAAACCCCTCACTGAAGACCGTGCAGATGATTTTTGAGTTGTTAACAACTATTTTATCTTTTTTTAAGAATTAATTGTAGGTAAGGAAGTGAGAAAGAAGGAATTTAAAGTTAAACTTGATATTATATGATACTTTTAAGCAATTCTTATATTTTATGTTGTTTTGTTCTTGAATTTCAATCCTATTTCATGGCAATTTATCACTTGTCACTTTACATCATGTGCAATATATTTTCATATGTATGTCAATTTGTTACGTGATAGTTCAATAAATAGCTAATATGTCATTCTTTAAAATATTATTTGGGTATTATATAAAAAATCACTTTCAAGCTTTATTCACCTCATGCAATTACTGGATTTTGAGGCTTGTGCCTCGCCTCACGAAGGGAAAACGCCTCAATACGCAAATGCGCAATTTTAAACTTTGCTCACAGCTGTCATTTCTTTTTGAAGATCCTTCTAAAAAATTTTCCTCTCAAATTCAAGGCTATAGCTAAAGACATACGCCATTGATCCATCCAAATATGTATAACTCTGATGCAATAAAATGTTGTCTCTTCATCATAACATTCAAAGATGCCACAGAGAGGTGCTTCAACTCTCTTTCTGCAAAAAATATTTACTTTGAGTGTTCTTAATCTCTT